AGGTCTTGGATTAACTTTGACTGGATAAGAATCAGAAAAATCTTAGAATCGATTTAACTGAACCAAACGAAAGTCTTGGAATATCTTCAATTTGAATAAGAATCAGGGAGATCTTAGCATCAATCTGACTGAACCATAGAAGGTCTTGGATTAACTTTTACTGGATAAGAATCAGAAAAAACCTTAGAATCGATTTAACTGAACCAGACGAAAGTCTTGGAATATCTTCAACTGGAATAAGAATCAGGGAGATCTTAGCGTCGATCTGACTGAACCAAAGAAGGTCTTAGATTAACTTTGACTGGATAAGAATAAAAAAAATCTTATAATCAATTTAACTGAACCAGACGAAAGTCTTGGAATTTCTTCAACTGGAATAAGAATCAGGGAGATCTTAGCGTCGATCTGAATGAACCAGAGAAGGTCTTGGATTAACTTTAACTGGATAAGAATCGGAAAAATCTTAGAATCGATTTAACTGAACCATATGAAAGTCTTGTGAGAGCATCTTTCTGAGGAATCCGCTGAAACAACCCTCAAATAGATGTAGTTTTTGAGGGGACTACCAGGTCATATAAGTAGTCAACGATGTTTATTGATTCATCTTTCCCTGAAAAGGTAAAGAGTTAGTCATATGCAATGTCATGATGTATGAAATGCATGATATATATATATATCAAGCAATGATGCTCTCAAAATAAATGAGATTGTGTGGTATGATGCGTATATGCCTATATCATGATGTATGGAAATGTAATGTTTCTAGCTGGGGAAAATAAATCTCGGATAGCTGTTGAAGAATAGAGCTGGATTCTTCGTTTCCGCTGGGGATGGCGAACGAAGAGAATAAACCTGCATGAGAGGATGACTCCGTTGGGGGAATAAACTGATGAGGAGATTACTCTGTGGGGAACATATGTTCTGCTGAAGATTCCACTGATAAATTCCGTCGAGATGAATTATCGTTGCTTGGTGATATTGAATCCTATTGGGGATTGAATTCCTGTTTGTGAAAAGAAAGAACTCCGCTGGGGACGACCTTTCAGTGGCGACTTCACTAGGGATAACCTGTTAGACTTTTGTGGGGATAATCCTTTGAGCTTTGCTGGGAATGATCCTTTGAACTCGGCTGGGGAGATTTATTTTTGTACTCCGCTGGGGATAAACTTCCAGAGTCTACTGGGGATGATTCTCCCAACTCCGTTGGGGAAGCTTTTTCAGACTACGATGGGAAAATTTTAACTCCACTGGGGATATCTTGTACCCTGTCGGGGAGCATTCTTATATTCCGTTGGGGAATATTAAGACTGCTGGCGATATTAAACCTTTTCAGTGTTAATGGTAGATAAACTCTGCTTGGGGGAGAATATTACCGATTCATTCATTCACAGTTGCAAGTCTCAATTGGAGAGAGATATCATTATTGCCTTACTCTGCGGGGAGTGAAAGTATCTTAGCGATATTCTTCAGTTGAATTTACCTTTGTACCTGGTGAATAGAGCAACTGTAAAGCTTTGGACAATTTTTATTGCCCCTATTTTTGCGGGAGAAGGTGCCTGCGGAGGCCCTGTGGATCGAGTATTATCCCCACCTATGAGGTGCTCACTACAAGAAAATTGGCAGATTGCGACAGGTATTTTTGTAGATTACGACGGTTAAAACCGTCGCAATTTGCTTTCCACGACGGTTGCTTTACCGTCGCAGAAGTGTGTGTCCCCAACCTATTTCGCGACGGTTACAAAAACTGTTATTCAAGTTTACGACGGGTTTGGAGCTGACATAATCAAGTATTGGTGACTGTTTGATACCGTCGTGACTATCTTTTGAGTTTCTTTTAATTATTGATGGCGACGGTTCGATACTGTCGTGAATATCTTTTGAAATTGATTAAATTGTTTATGGCGACGGTTCGATACTGTCATGACTTTTGTTGATTATTTTTAATTGTTGATTACGACGGTTCGGTACTGTCGCCATGACTTTTGTTTATGTCTTGATTTTTTTTAATTTTTCTATTATATATATTTTTTATTTAAATTATTATCTATGTAAAAAATTTTAAATATAGTTTTTTTTGTGTTATTTTTTTCTTTAAATTATTTCTTCTTTAATATATTTATTTATAGTATTATTTTTTGTTTTATTTTCTATCACTTTGTAATATAGTAAAAATAATTTCAATAAAAAATATTTAACATCAAATAAGCATTATAATATCCAAAAAAATGTGTGTTCCATAATCATGTAAAATGCGAGTTCCATAATCATGTCAAGTAGTACAAAAAACCCAAAATATATCAATTCCTAATCTTATAATAATAAGTATCATTATGCCAAAAATACATGAGAAAGTTCACAATCTAATTATCTCGATCATAGCAAAGTCTAATTTGTCCCCCCTGAAGTTCCATTATCTCCAATACGGTAGCTAGACTCAGATGAACGTCTACCATCAGCGGGTGATTCCAATCCCTAAAAAAAGGTATTAAAATAATAATCTTTAAAATAATACTCATAAAATTTAACTTTAAATGCGTCAAAATAATATACCTGTCTTCCACTAAAATTCTGCATTTGCATTAAGAGTTCAATTTCCTTTGTCCTCGCCTTATCCCTTTGCGTTAAGAATATGATTGCCTGTGTTAATTCATCAATTTTTGAATTCTTTTCTTTAAGTGCATTAATTTCTTCTTGCATTTCCTTTATTTGTTCACTTTCTGCAGAAGAAGATGTCGATCTCGTAGATCTATTAATTTGAGATGGTGTAACTCCAAGTCCCATACTACGAACATATCCATGCTTTTCTTTTCCAAATACTTTCTGAAATGCCTCATTTTCAGACACAGAATCCTTAATTGCAGCTTGTAATTTTTTCTGCACATGAAAAAGAAAAAATTGAGCTATTGTTTATATAACAAGAATAAAATTGAGCTATTTTTTCTCCCACGCGATTGCTTTCATGTTTCCTCCCATAATCATCCTATGGTTACTATCTATTTTCACGATTGGCATTTACAATGTCATCAAGTGGAATCCAAGCATATATTTTAATCCTACTGTGTGTAATATATTTACCTTATCAAAAGAACCATTGAACATAAGATGAAAAGGAGGGCGATAAAGAGAAGCAAGATTGTCGCGGGGACTCTCTACTGTAGAGGCTGCACCTTGCTCTGGCTCCCAAACCCCTGGACGTCTTGTTTCCTGTTCAAAGTTACGGAACGCGATTAAGGGGCTTGGTTCTTGTGAGATATGTCCTAGCCTTGATACTCTGCACAAACAAGACAACACACAATTTCAACAAATAATTTGTCTTCAAAACAACATAAATTTACATACATACATACATACATGTGTATGTACACACACATACATATATGCATGCACAAAACCTATAGATATAATGATGTATGTACTAAATGACAATGTTTGTTTACTTATGAAGCTTAATGAGCACAACTTAATTACAGAAAACATTTCCAGGATAAAGAAGAAACAAAAACAGCACCGGTTGACTTTTGACCACAATATCTCTACAAGAGGCATCAATGTAATTTATATTATGAAACAACAGATAAAAAATGAGATAAAAGAAGACAGCCCTAGCACACTACCGTTTAATATGCAATAAAAATATAACAGAAAAATAAGTACATATTACATAAAGATTTTAAATTCCATAAAAAGATACTAGCATAACACTTGTTGATATGTCACCGACAACAGTACACACCACTCAGAAAGAGTTGATTGATTCTAGTTGCATAAAGTTCACAAGACAGCCTGTCCAGCGCCAGCAATTCAATTCCACTTTTCTTTCATCTTAATCCCCCTTTTTTTCGTCACTTACTAGTTTACAAAGGAAAACACACATGCGCGGGGGAGAAGAACTATATATTAACTACAGAACTATTATATGTAATCAAAAGAATAATTAGTGACACGGTGAAATGAATGGTAAAAGCATCAAACTTTGTTGCAAGGATAGTCTACTGGATTTAAACCCAATCAATGTCATCATTTAATCCTACCTAATGAATTGCATTTGCATCAAAATGCTTAATAAAGAAAGGCTAAAAATACCATTTACACATACATCTACATTACACCAAAATCCTACCGTTACCAAAGTAAACAAAGAAGTGACTAAAAGAAAAACATACCCATACAGCATTGTATTATCATAAAGAGTTTCCCTTATAACAGGTAAGGGCGAACGCACAAAGTTAAGTTAGTTGGTTTGATATCAGATTCTGTGTCTATAGTGCATTTTTACTTTCATGGTTTTTTTCCCTAACTATTTAGTCTTATATCTCTTTGTATTCGGTAACGTTAGAATCATCAATAACAGTTAATAATCTCTTCTCATCTTAAATACATAGTTAAATCTCTTCCATTTCCACATTTTAAACCTATCTCTTCATGGCTATCTTTCCTTAAATCTATCTCTGCTCATATCTCAACATGTTGCAGCCTCAAAAATACCCTTTTGTTCTCTTAATATCATTTTTAACATTTCTTTATCAATGTTGTGCTACTCAATTCATAGTGGGGGATTCAACAGGTTGGGTTATTCCACCATATCCAACATACTACACTAGTTGGTCAGATTCCCATATCATTAGAGAAGGAGACACTCTAGGTAAAGGCCTAATTAATATTAAGTTCTTGCTTTGATATATATGTGTATTTTATGCTAGCTAGGAACATTTTCATTATATATTTTTTGTGATGTTAACACAGAATTCAACTTTGATACAAAATTCTACAACCTAATTCAAGTATCAAAATCTGAGTATGAGCATTGCACAGCACTTGAACCTCTGAAGGTGTTCTATACTAGCCCTATAAATTTTCCATTGAAGGAGAAAGATGTTTAGCTTTATATCCATCATCATTCTCTGCCATAATAACAACAAAACATTAAACAGCCTCCTAACAGCAACATTTTCACTTTACAATGTTAATATATCTTCAATTGAAATTAACATGACAACAGATCAAACCTGAAAATCAACTCCATATTTCTCAACTAGCCGACTAATATAAAGACGCTGAATCGAAGTCAAAGGTTGAGGAAGTGCACTTTTACCATCTCTTCTTCTCTTTCCCAGTGCCGATTTCAAATCTACACCACAAAATTCATAAAATTTACATGCATTTCAAAAAAATATAAACAATTTCTGATACTAAAATACACGAAAATACCGTCTTCTTCGAGGTCACTGCCATAATCGTTGGGGTCATCGGAGACAGAAGGAGGAGCTCGAAGAGAATCGGTGAGGGAGTTAGGGTCATTGACGACGCCAAAGGAATTGTAGTTTTGTGTGACGCTGCCTTTTTCATCCCATTGTAGTCTTGATGTCATCTGCAAATGAGTTAAGTGCAGGCTTCAGCGTGACTTTGTAATCAATACCCATGATCTCAGCAAGTGTGGTTCCCTTGGGATTCAACACATATTGAATGTCATTACCAATCTTCAACCTAGAAGCACATGAAAGTAAGAGTTTGCTTAATAATTGATCCCTATTAACATCAGCACAGAAGTTATCTAGTTTAGATGTAAATAGTCGATACAATTATGCTAAAAAAACAAATGGGGTGCAATAGAATACAATACAAGAGGAAAAGAAAAGAACCTCTTAAGGGCTTGGTTACAATCCCTGGTGATAGGTTCTAAGTCTCTGATGTTATTTGCGAGAGTACGGTCAAGCTCCCAACACTTTTCCTCCCAATCATTCCTAGCAAGTTCAGCCTCTCCAGCATCCCTCTCAGCAGCCTGCAACTCTCTTTTCATCCTCTCAACGTCCCTGGTATTGAAAGGCTGTGACTCCACCTTCTTCTTTAGCATTTTATTCTCTTGACATATGTTGTCGCTCTCCACGACCTTAGCCTGCAACTGTTTCTCCTTCTCCACCAAATCCCTCTCTTTCGACTCAATCCGCAACCCAAACTCGTCAATAATCTTGTGAAACTTAATGACATCGCCTTGAAGCATTTCCTTCTCTTTGTCGAGTAAATCCTTCTGAGAAGGAGCAGACCTCAATCCCTCCAATTGAGCCTCCAATTCAGAGACCTTTTGTTCAGCGGCAGCAAGGGTGTTGTCAGCGTTAGACTTCTCACGGAGAATCTTGGTGCGGATTTCGTGGTCGAGTTCGGAGATGGCTTCATCGTCACCTCTAATGAAATTTAGATAAGCGTTGAGAGAATACTGGAAGACGATGTTGTTGGTTTGGAGGGTGGTGGTGTGGGAGGGAGAAGAAAAAGAGAGATGAATTTGACAAGACTGAACAAGCCAATGAATGAGGGCGAGAATGGAAGGCCATTGATGAGGTGCAGCGGGGGATTTGAGAACAGATTTATTGAGTTTGTGAGGGTAATTCATGAATTTGAGAAGTGGCGGAAGATCTTCTATTTTGTTTATATTGAAATCGAGGAGCCCGACGAGGAAGATTAGGGTTTGGTGAATGTGTTTAGCGGAAGGAGAGGAAAAAGGTTTGAAAGAGACATTCAAATCCTGAGAGGCCAGGAATGAATTGAAGGTTGTGGTTGCGTTCTGTTGGTACGAACGGTCTTTGTAAACGTCGAGAGAATGGATTCCGACGGAGGATGGACGACTACTGGCTAAACTCACGTCAGAGTCACGGTGGCTGTTTAGTGGAGTTGGTGGTAAGTAGGCCGACTCTTTCGGTTGCCGACGAACGTTGCTGCTTCCGCCGGGAGGTCTCATCTTCTTCCGACGAACGAAGGGATTGTAACAATTTGGGAGGAATGGTGAAAGCGGGTTTCAAAACTTTAGGGTTCTTCTTTGGAAGACCCACACGAACCTTAGGTCGAGAATTCTTGTATTTTCTTCGTGAGTAGAAAAAGTGAACGCAGGAGTAGAAAATGAAGAGCTTTTTAATTTTTTTACGGCGACGGGTGTTTTACCGTCGTGCCCATGAGAATTTTTAAAGGTTTTGGGTGCGACGGTTGTTTTACCATCGTGAAATGAATTTTAGGACGGATAATTTTACCGTCGTGAAAGGTTTAAGGGTGCGACGGGTGCTTTACCGTCGTGATATGCCTTTTAGGACGGTTAATTTTACCGTCGTGACTAGTTGTTGGTGAAAAATCAATGTTAAAAGTGTTAAATGGGGGCCGACGGTTGTTTTACCATCGTAATAATAATATTATGATGGTTAATTATACCATCGCAAAATAAATATTAGGGACGGTTGGTGTCAACTGTCATAAACACTGTCTCTATATGTCAATTACGACAGTTATCACATAACTGTCGCAATTTTTGTGTCGTTAAACACTAATTTTCTTGTAGTGGCTTGGTAACTTTCGATTGAAGTGACAAGTCTTCTTCTGGTAGGCCAGTGACGAGAAGACGAGACATAGTCGTACGCTTTGATCCCTAATTTTTGCCTGGACCACCTTTTCGGGTTTTCAGTCCACCGGGATACCTTTTTTTGCCCAAGCCGCCTTTTCAGGTTTTCGACTTGTCGGGTGTACAATTTTTATTCTCATCCCTAATTTTTTCCCGAACCCTTTTGGGTCGCCGGGAAGCCCTTATTTTTGCCTAGGCCAGTCAACCTAGCGGTTCTTTATTCATGCGCGGTATTTTCTGACTATGTCCACGCTCTCAGGATGTAGGGAGGTGTCACTGTCGGTAGTGTTGTGTTGTCATACTACCAGAATATCTTCGTTTGATCGTGCAAGATTCGTTGCTGGAATTCATGTCCAATGCCCCAATTGATTCAGATGGAGATTTTCCCCTGGCTATTTGGCATTTTGAGAGATTCCTTGAATCTTGACTTAACTGCCCTAGATGATAGACAATGCTCATGCCGTGCCCCTTGGTTGGAGGTGTTTTTTCCACTTGAGGTGACCCTTTTTATTGAAAAGGTTTTTGTTCACTAGATATTCGTCGTGCGAATTTCTCTGCTGTTTGAACAAATAGTCATATGCAAACAATGTTATTTTAAGAATGCAAAGCTTATGTCTGTCTTGAAGTTTTTGAAAATGTATTTTTTTCAGTAAGATACGAAAATTTTGTAAAATGCGACGTCAACTCAGGATTTACAGCAAGCCCTACAGGAGTCAGGATACCTTTTTATAACAGTATGCTTTCGAACTAACCCATGCTTCAACTAGGACTTTTAAGGGTTATAACGTGGTCTGGTTCACGGTTTAAGAAAAAAAGGACAAAGGCTCAAATTTTATTTGTACCCACCCGTTCTTCATGATGTTCTTCGATCCTAAACTCAGCTAATTATGCATTTAGATCCCGTTTGAGTGTTTGCTCTAATATTCCAGTGATGGATCGGATACTGACAATTTATTTTGAACAGACAATCATTTTTGTCGAGAGTTTGCAGGACCTCTTTCTTTTTGATTTTATTACCCCTGTCTTTTGCCTGAACTGTTTCTTTTGTAATTACAGTCAGCGGGATGCCCCAGTTTTGTAAGTCTCCTTCATAGGTTTTGACTTGATGGGCTTTTATTTCGAGAGATAATGACTGCCTGTCCTTACGATTATACGGAACCATCACCGTATTTTGTTTCGGAAGGACTTCTTTGATGCCATTCATTGTGCACCTGGATTAACTGAGAAAACTACCCTGCCCCAGGTTATAATTACGGGTTTTAATTTGTGAAACGAAAAACTCCAACTTCTTTGGCTCAAAGGGGTTGAATAGGGATTATCTTCCTTATAACTCCACTGTTTAGGATTTGAAACAATGCATGTACATCGTCAGCAGGTTCTGTTAAAAAGCATACTGTAGAGATTTTGGTATCATTTTCGTCATCCTCCATCTAAAGGCTTAGATTTTTTTTCGAGAGTTGATCATCACAAAAAATGAAAGCAATTTGAATATAGTGAATACGAATGGATTGATTCAAAACAGACATATGCAATGCATTGATAAAGTAATAAAGATTGACATGAATAAATGTTTGAACAATCAAAAGAAAATTACAAATTGAAAATTCTAATGAACAAAAGTCTTCTCATCTCAGTACTTGTCACTTCAAATGGTGAACCTTGGAGGGATGGTAGAAGAACTCATACTGACCATCTTGGGTGAATTCCAATGCTCCTTCATCAATCAGGTTTTGAATTTTGTACTTTAACTTCCAACAGTCGTCAGTGTCATGCCCTGGGTTGTGAGAATGGTATGCACACCTTGCATTAGGATTGTAGTTGGTTGAAGAAGTCTTAGGATTCAGATGAGGTCCTACCAACGTCACCCGATTCAATCTCAACAGGTGTTGTAAAGCCTGAGACAACGACATGTTGAGCTTGGTAAATTGCCGCTTGGGCATATTTGGCTTACTCCGATCAACCCGTTGTTTATGGCAAGGTTGTTGTTGGACCCTTGAGGTAGTAGCAACTTGGAGAGGTCTATTCTTCATCAAACCAAAACATTGACTTCTCGGAAGTTGATTAATGACTTGATCCCCACCTTGACTGTTTGCTTCATGCTGTTGTATCTGTCTTGATGAAGCTGGTTGATAATGGTTCTCAGCTCTTCTTGTTCCCGAGCTAAGCCTTGGATAAGAGCCATCTGCCCCAACATCTGGGTTTTCATGGCACTGAACTCAGCTTGCAGTTGTTCCAGCCGTTCGTCCTTATTGTCTTCAGGACTTTTCTTGACCAAGTTCCCAACGAGGAGTGTTTTCAACTCTTCCTGCCCCTTGGATAGGTTTAGGAATACATCCCTGAACTAAGCTTCTCGAGTTTGAAGATCTTGGTTGTCTGGTTAAAAAGCCATTGCTGAAATAAACAGCGAGAACATGAGAGACCTGTACTGGGAGACCTGTTATGCAATGATATGTATGATATATGTATGCAATGTTTTCAAGGATCTCACGGGGTAAACAAGAAACTTGTTAGAATTTGAATTTCGTAGCTTTGATTGAAGAAACTTCATGTTGTTAAGAGTTCTTCTTCAAGAGTCAAGCTCACCATATCGAGTGGGTCATAGCCCCTGACTCAAGTTATCGTGTTTTGATTTCTAGACAACCTTGGCTAGAGGAAAATAAATCCCCTTTGCCCCTTGCTAGACATTTGATTTACCATAACCTGCATCACAAACCCTTGAGATCCCTGAAATGGTTAAGGAAATGTTAAGGCATGATGTTATGATGTGTATGCTATGCGTTTAAGCAAAAGTGTGAAGTGATGTAAGTAAACCCTGCAATAAATCCAAATTATTGGATAAGGACTGTAAACAAAACCTGCAAGGAACTCATGTTCTCAGATAACAAGAATGTGCAAGTAGTTCAAGTTTGAAGGCACACAAGTCACACAAACAACCTTAAGTTTAGGCTGGCATGGAGTTTAGGTATTACCCTTTTTCAGTTTAGTTGGTTCAACCTGTCCTAGAAATAGTAACCGGGTTCTAGAGGATCTCAATATCACTGACCATCCTCGATCGGTCATAATTCCAGTTTAGCAACCTTTTCTTGCGGCCGGAATCATCGCGAGAGTTTGGTCTCAATGAGTGTAGCAAGGGATATCGGTACATACTAAAGTGCCACACCAACGTAGCTACTGCTTCAACCATATCAGTCTACGCCGTACAGTTCCATCACAATTTATTGCTACTTACCTAAAGGGTATCCCCCAGATCTGGGTTAGGATCTATAGTAACTCCTATTCAACCCACAAAGATAAAGCATACAAGTCAAGCAATTGAAAACATTATGAACTATTCATAAGGTACACCCCACTTATAAGCGTCCCCAGCAGAGTCGCCAGTTCTGTGATACGGTGGGAGAGAACTGACTGTTTTTGGAATGCTGGTTTGCGTTTTGCGTTTGTTTTCTCAAAATGTCGTGGTAAGCAAGAGTCGCCACCGACTTTTATTTTATCCAACAAGGAAAGGAAAAAAGCACAAAAAAATTCCTTTTTCGAGATGTTTCTCGGGTCCGGGGGTAGATTATAGAAAGGGAAGGTGTTAGCACCCTTTCTATCCGTGGTTATCCACGGGCTCTTAGGTACTTGTTCAATTGTTTTCAAAATTTTGCTTTCTTTGTGATTGTGGGTTTGAAAAAAGTCTTTTGTTTGAAAAGGAGTGTAATTGTGAAAAAGATTTTGTTTTTTGAAAGAGCAAGTATCTAAGAACCATCTACCTACTCGAAAAAGGAATCGTTCTATGCTATCTTCCTTTAGACAATGCTATCCCACTATTGATAAGTAGGTAGCACCGTCGTTGGAGTTTTAAGGGTCAATTCGAATTTAGGGACGTGCGGTCACTAAAGCAATGTTAGGACGTCTTAGAAGTAACCCTAATGTCTTAGATCATTTGTTTTGAGGCAACAATATCCGAGGCAACCGTTTCGAGGCGACTATGATCTTTAGACAAGAGGACGACCTCTAAAGTGACCTATACTCAATGACCACGTATGAAGGAAACAAAGTGGGGTGTACCCTAAGAATGTGCATGTGCGAGTGTGTCGTTTTTAGTTTATTTTTATCTTTGTACATGTCAATGGTGATCTAAGTTGATTTTAGGTTAAACATTCATTCTTGTCATGCAAACCCTATTACCAAACATCTAGCAATTGAATATTTGTAGAAATTAAAAGTGCGGAATTTAAACTAAATTATTACAAGGCGTCGGGTATTTACATCGCCAAAAGAAACCCTTTGAAAATAAAAGCAGAAAAAGTAAATGTCTTAATTAAAAATTATTACAATCCGGGAGCATATACAATAATTCGAATAAATAA